TCGCTTTGCTCTATTGTCTTTAATCTGTTATCAAGGAACAATAAAGATTCTTATAATATATATTTTTAATTATTTTAATACATTTTAGTTACTTTAAAAATGTAAAACTTGTGGAGGTAAGAAGGTGCTCTTCCTAAAGAAGGGGTTCTCGACCAGACTAACCACTGGCTAAAGGCTCGTGGCTAAGGTAGCTAATTGTATATATTCATGGTTTTCGGAATTGACGTCATCGATGACGTCACCTTACCGATTGTAGCCTCGGATCGGTGCACAAATTATTCTTTATAATGTCTATCAATTTAATTTTTGTACTAGAGTTTAAAACTATAATACACAGATATAAAGATGTATTTACAACAAAAGGCACAGAACGCTGAGCACCTACTTGCTCATAAAGAAAATAAAAAAGATATCTGTCTCTAAGACCATTGGTTGCTTTATATGTAAAGTATTTTCTTAACTTTATAGACATCTTCAACCCGGACATTTTCCACATGGGCGGAGATGAAGTTAGCGAAAAATGCTGGAACACCTCACAAGAGATCCAACAGTTCATGATTCAGAACCGTTGGGACCTTGACAAGAAATCTTTCTTAAAACTGTGGAATTACTTCCAGACTAAGGCCCAGGATAGGGCCTATCAGGTTAGTGAAGATTCCTCCTTAAAAAAGTTTTAAAATAAAGAAAAATATTAATTTATAATAATAATATTTTATTCCAATTACATAACAAAGATCCATTTTAGTTCGTAAGTACAAATTATAGACAAATTTAGTACCAACATCAACAGCAAATAAAAATAATTTTAAAATAAATAAACAGCATACGCTCACACTTGCGTAAGCACAAACTGGCTAACAATTTGTGACTGAGTACCAGTGGCGTAACTATACCACCTGGGGCCCGTGGCAAATCTTCTTTCGTGGCAATTCTTTTGATAGGGCCTTGTCAGTAAAAATCGTCCCTACTCCGTTTAATTTTAATGAACTTCGAGATTTTCTGCGTACTCAATTACACGTTGTATATGTCCCACTAATGGCTATAGGCCTTCTCTCTTAGGCGAGAGGGAATAGTCTGTAGTCCCCACGCTAGCCCAATGCGTATTGGAGACTTCACATTTATCCATAGAACATAATATCTCTTGGGTAGGGGCCGTCTTGGGTTGGGGGCCCGAGGCATTTTGCCAGCCCTGCCACCCTATTGTTACGCCACTGCTGAGTACAGTTTTCTATTGTACTAGGGATACTGTTCCTACTGCCTCGCAATCTACGTAAAACTGATGCCGTTCTTTTCCGACGGATCGCCTAGAAGTCAACTGTATGTGCCTGGACAAACATGCCTGAAACACTGCAAAAGTGAGGCAGTCCCAACAAGATCCTAAGGGCGTTATTGAATGAGCAAGGCACTGAGCGACCCGGGAATACAGCTAGCTCATAGTTTTATGTTTTGTATACATGTATTGAGCACTTTTTAAAATAAGTATCATTTCAGGCATTCGGCAAGCGTCTTCCTCTTATCTTGTGGACGAGCACTCTCACAGACTACACACACATTGACAACTTCCTTAACAAAGATGACTATATCATACAGGTATATAAACTGTCATAAAATAGACTAATCTGTCAATCGTTACCGTACCCTTTTTTTCTAGTCTCACAAAAAATTAATTGAATAAAAAATGGTAAATTATTTGCGGCGTCAAACCACGATTTTTAAAGCGAGAATATTTTTTGTATCCATTGTGAACGAGAGCTTTAAATAACACCGCTCTCTTTAGTGTTTGAAATCCAAAAGATTATCCACATTCCAAATTCAATTCTTATTTAATCCCGATATTAAAAGCTTCTTTACATGAAAACATAATTTTCTATCTGTGGCCTACTTTAGCGCATGCGCGGAATCAGTAAGTTTTGGCGCAATTCATACGTTTCTTCAATGGAATAGTTAGATAAATGGTTTAAAATGAATTCGTACCGTATGCATGTTGTATATTTTTTTAACAGAAAGTGTATTTTTGAATCTTATGGCAATGTAAAGAGACTCAAGATAATTTGGTTCTGCATTTTCTGAATAATACTATTACGCGGGTTTTTGTTCAATTTCTCCTCATACGCTTAAAGGAAATATACAAAGGAGTAAGTCCAATGCCCTAGGCTGATCACGTACAAAGACAAACATTAGATATATAAGGATCAAAACCAAGGGTTATAGCGCCGTCTTTTATAATGATAGGTAGTAGGTTCAATAACAATTTTAAATTTATCAAAATCCAGGTATGGACGACAGGAGCAGACCCCCAAATCAAAGGTCTGCTGGAGAAGGGATACCGTCTCATCATGTCTAATTATGATGCACTTTACTTTGACTGCGGTTATGGTGCTTGGGTTGGAACTGGTAAGTTTAATGTTAAGTGAATACATTTTCTAAGCAAATCTCTATTGGATACGTCACAACTGGAGTATCGTAAGCTCGATTGCAGGACTACCTATTCATCCGAGGTGCTTAAAAACCAATAAAGTTAGGAAACTTAGGGCTGCAATTGAAATGACTTGAAATAAATCAAATAACTTATGTAACATAGTTTAAAAATTATGTACTTTTTAATGTTTTTTTTTTCCAATAAAAATCTTTATTTAATAACTAATACTAATTTTTCACCTTTTATAAATAAGCTAGCTAAGCTTATAAATATTTTATATACGTTCTAAGCATTAAAACTAAAAGTTTGTCTTTACAAAAAACATTAAAAATAACAAACCATTGTCTTTTGCGTGTTTTTGTATCTCGTACATAATCGGATATACAGACAGCTGATCTTAATTAGCTTAATTTTCATTCACATTTTCATTCATGTATTATTAAAAGACGCTGCGTTGGCCAAGTGCCTTGGACATCCGCATCTCAGACTTGTGGTCGTGAATTTAAACATAGCTTTCAAAGGATTGTTCTTTCTATCTGCGCATTTAACCGCCCGTATAGTGAAGGAAGACATAGTGAGGAAACTGGAATGTTTTGAAGTCGACAGCGACTGCCAGGCTTAGAGGGCTGATTACCTACTTGCCTATTGCCTAAAAATGATACAGAAATCTGCGGTCGAGTTCTAGCGGGTTATTTTATATTAAACGATTGATTTATTTCTAGGAAATAACTGGTGTTCTCCATACATCGGGTGGCAGAAGGTGTACGACAACAGTCCTAAGCAGATGGCAGAGAAATACTCGGATCAGATTCTAGGTAAAATACCTATTAAATAACTAATTCTGTTATATAAGAGAAATGAAAGCATAGTCCCTATGCCGACTACACAGTTTCGTGACCTACCAACTTTGAGAATTGCCGATAAGAATATTTCAGTGGTACGGTAAATGCACGCGTTGATAACACCGGTCCGCGCACGGCAAGTGTTTCACCTAGTAGTAGATATTTTCTATCTCAAAATTACGGAATTATACCATTTAAATATAGGAAATTATATTTTGCGTAAAAATAGCCGTTCGTGAAAACTAGAACTACAGTATATATGATATGTTAAGGTGGTGAAGCGGCTTTATGGTCAGAACAGTCTGATTCTTCGACACTGGACAGCCGTCTTTGGCCCCGCGCAGCCGCTATGGCAGAACGACTGTGGGCAGAACCGGATACTAACTGGGCTAGTGCTGAGAAACGCATGTTGCATGTCAGGTAATATTAATCGTATTACAAATTTATTTTATTTTATATATTTATCGAAAATACAATATTTAGAAATATGCTAAAGAATATTTACAAAGAAAAAATAACTAAACTAACAAATAGTAAAAATTTGTCAGTTCACTCAATGGACAATGAAAAAGGTATCTTTTGTCTCCTTTCAGTTTAAACTACAGTCTAAATAAATGATAGAGAAATTGCGGACAAGAAATTAGTAAAAAAATCGAGGATAATTAAAAATTAATCAATTAATTATCACAATTATTATATAGTCAACACAGATGTAAAAATATTATTGTATATAATATAGATGTATGCTGCAATCCATAAATACTGTTTTTGCGCAGTTTTATTTGGGTATAAGCTATTTTCGTGCATTATAAGAAATATGTTTCCAATATAATATAATTTATACGAAATAAATCAATAAGATACTATTAACATTTAGTAATAGAAATACCTGTTATTACCTAAATTTATCAAATTTTATGGCCTGTGTGTGTCAAGTCACCAAGTGACGTAATTTTAAGATTTTATTCATCAGAAATATACTCCATGATTCAATATTTTTAAAAAGAATGAAGATTAAGGTATATTCTGTATTCTGTTTGTATCTTCTGTGTACTTTTAATATTTAATTTAATTTTATAGGGAGCGTCTAGTTCGTATGGGAATTCAAACTGAGTCTTTGGAGCCAGAGTGGTGCTATCAGAACGAGGGATACTGCTATTAACTGTGATACATGAAATAACGTAATATATATATATATGTATTTTTGGCCTTGGTACACAAATAAAATATACATTTTGACTTATCGAATATTAAAAAGCCGCAAAGTAATTTTACACATAGAATCCTTTTAAAACACTCTATCAACGTTAATAAAGTAGTAGTATTTAAAGTCGCCATGAAATCCTTATAATACTCAAATTACAATTTACTGTTTTTTTTTAAATTACATAATTTTTATTCTATACTTTATTAAGAAATATTATGTAAATTCTATTGAGATTATATTTATGTAAAATAATCAATTTAAAAAATATAATATTTGTACGTAACCTATTGTTTTATTTCCTAAAACATTTCACAGCAGTTTTTATTACTGCATTTTGCGAAATTGTTGAAATATGTACATACTCATCCTAGCATTCGCATTTATATGTTAAAAACAATTACTTTCAAATTGAATGGACACCAGAACCTACACGAGATTCTAAAGTACTATAACTAGTGTCATCAAAGATCACTATTTAAATAAGGTAAATAAATAAAATATAGAATAAATAAAAACATAATTTAATAACAGATTAATAAAATGACATAGAACCGTAACGATTTGCGTACCCCGGCAGCTCTCGAGTTATGGCGACTTCATTGTTACCAGTACTAAATTCCACAACTCCCGAACCAGTCATTGGCAATTCTCCTTGTACCGTAACAGAGCTCAGAAATGGTAAGGTCCCCGAAACTGAGATGGCTCCATTAATAATCAATCCATCGGCAGATATGCTTATTGAGGGCGGAGGTAAATTGAAATTCTCCATTTTAAATTGCCTGTTGAATACATCGTAGTCTCTAGGTTTGTAATAACTAGGGCCTAAGCCATAGTATGCATGCATATTTGATGGCACATATTCAAAGCATTGTACGAAATTTTCCTGGAATATAAAAAACAAGATGTTATATTATGTGATATTGATCTATGAATGAGACATTCCTATAACTACTTCATAATACGTGTGGAAAAAGTGTACTATTCCTCCAACATAAAGGGAGGATCCTCGACTAGTGTTAGAATACTGACTGGCCCGAAGGCCCCAGTGGCTAAGGTCAAGGAGTTGTATATATCCGTTTCAGGATATATACAGCAGATTGCAGGTGTTGCTACATATGTTTAGTTTGCAAATCAAAGGAAAAGAAAAGGAAATTACGCATACAGTTTCTAAGGTACGTTAACTTGTAACATACAAGAGTTTTATTCATATTTTAATTCCTTTCTAAGCGTTCTTAATGATATTTTTATTAACATTCTAACGTTATAATAATCAAGAATGAAAATATATTAATATATAAGAAAATAATACATTTGTAAAGGATACGAGTAAAACAGTAAGACAAAAGCAATGAAAAGCCTCTTTTATAAAAGTCATGTATTTTCGTTCACTGAAAGACTTATTTCTAGCATCATTTCTTGAACTTACCATATTAATGAAAATTTGTAAACAAACAAATAGCAATGCTGTGATCCGCATAATGAACTGATAACTATGCACTTTATATTGACAGAGCATTAACCCAATGCCCTATTTATATGAAACACAACAATATCGTTGCACAAGCATTTACGACACGTTTTTATTAATTAATTTCAATATATTGAATAACAATAAAATTACAAAATCTAAAGTTTTCTTCGTATACGCACGTGCGATACGGCAAACGAAGGCATATAGGTTTTGTAATAGGAATCTATTTAACATCTAATAGAACAATCAATGAATCTACGCTTTATCTATATGTGTCACAAAGTAATTATTTTATCCATTCACTATAATGTTTATAGCTGATAAGCGGTAGAAAGCTACAGCTTTTATGATACTATATTCCACCATCAACTTTTTTAATACAACGATATGGAGGTGGTATTGCATCTTTGTTAGATTGATCTGACAAAAATGAATACGTTTTAGGCAGTCAAATTTCAGCCTGCATAATACAGCAAAATCTGTTATAACGACATCGAAGGGCCTACTCATATTTGGTCGTAAAAGCGATAGTCGTAACAGCCGATGCGTTGTTATTAAGTACCAATACATACTTTTACCCGCCGGGACTTTTGATTTTGGTCAATATAACCGGTATGTTGTTCTAAACGATGTCGTCGTATTTGATTGTTAGTACATATATGTTAGTCAACATTTTTAAATGTATTGACTAGTTTTTTAGTATTTCGCCAACACTCCCTTTTTGATCTCGTGCAGTGGTCATAACTCATTCATAGATAATATTTGTATATTGGTTAATTTCCAAAATTACACTAGTCGTTGTTAATTCAAAAAACATTTGAGTAATCCTAAAAGTATTTTATTTCCATATATTTATAATGTGTGTTAAACATTGTTCATCAAGTGTTTGTAACAAGAAATCCTGTTATATTAATGACGCGAACAGCTGTCGAAGTAATTAGGGCATTTTAGATAATATGTTTGCGAGAACTGCTTATAATGCATTGTTTACTTAAATGAAACGATTATACTATAAGCATACAATTTGTATTTATTTTTTAATTATTATTCAATTTATTTTTTTTTTTCACAACCTATATTTGAAACGAAGAAGTTTCTTTCCGATATCCGTGACTAGTAGTCATGTACATGGTGCAAAAGAATAGGATAAGAATATTGCAAATTTAGATTATAGAATTTGATAATATACGGCATGGTTGTAATAAGTAGGTAATGTATAATTCATCGCGTTTGTCCTTAAATCAAAAAATTATATATTATGAGATATTTCTCATCATTAAAAAAATTATTTAAATTGATTAGTTAGAGGTATATATACGTTTTAGAATGGATATTATTTATATAATAGATTTTTGCATTATTTTAATTAATTTCGTTTACATAATAATTATATAAAAAACTAGTGGACCCCACAGACGTTGTCCTGCATGATATTTAAAGCGATTAGGATACTAAGCAAAGTATGAAAGTACCGACTGCAGTGCCATCTGCCGGGCTGATTTGTGAATCTAAACCATTACCAGGTCCCCTTGAACACACACAAAAAATTTCATCAAAATCGGTCCAGTCGTTTGAGAGAAGTTCAGTGACATACACACTCACAGAAGAATTATATATATAAAGATATAAAAAATATAATTTTTATTACAGTTGTTTAAATACTAACTTGTGAATGTCAGGGGCACTATATTTTTACATTGATAACGATAAGCGGGTACGTTAGCCTCTTTGACCTCCACCTTTTCATTCAATTACTTAACTATTTCGGTAGGCATGTTTTAAAAACTAAATAGGCATATTTTCTTGAGTAATAATTGTTTTTATTACCTATATTAAATGAGCCTTCATTATCTGTAGAATGTAGTAATTTCTAAGGATTTTTCTTTCTGTCCGTGCGGACAAAGCAATATCGTGCATTTGAATATGAAATCATAGACTTAGAAACTATAACTTTAATCTGTTGCATCAGTTATGGGTGCGGTCACAAAGTATATAGAAAGTAAATAAATAGAGCAAAACAATTTATTAACAATTTAAATAAATTAATAAACAAGATGTTTGATAACATAATCAAATAAATAAAGCAACCCAAAAAAGAAACTTGGTATTACTTATTACCACAAATGAGCATAAAAATACAGTTGCTGACACTAATAACAACGCCACCACATTTAAGCAATTGTTTTAGATTAACAAGGAATAAAAAATAAAAGAAGGAAAAACTACACTACAGAATATAATTTGTTATTCTAATAAACGTAAAATAATAATAGTACAATATCCATCTATACGTTATATTAAAATCAGAGCTGATTTGAAATAATAAGTTGTGTGTCGTGCAAAATTTTTTTAACTAAAAACGAAGAATACTTGCGTCAATTGAGCAACAGATAAAATACGTATTTAATAGCTGGTATTACAAGAGATGTACCTAATTAGTACGTATTTAGGTGTAACACTGTAAAGACAAAGATAAAATTATCCGTGATACTGAGAAATAGATTTTAAAACGCCGCAAATGCAATGCATCGATCCGGTTTAAAATAAAATTTGATGAGATATTTTTAAAATCTGAAATATTTTGTGAGTGGGTGAAATGTAATGTTTATATTTGGCACAAGTGCGCAATGCCCTATTTTACTGCGCAATTACTTTTATACTTTTCAGATAATTTTTGTTTCTATTTTCTTGACATATGTCTTCTCTGTTCTGTACAAACACTATTTTTCAACTGTTTTTGTGAACATTTACATAATAAAAATTTGGAAATATTTTGGCAGGAAATTCTTTCACGTCATTTTTTTATCACTTTTCATTATTTCTTAATGAGTTTGCTGGTGCAGCAATCAATGTTTTCTGTGGTATTATTCAGTTATCATTTATATTGTATGCATCTATCATCAACAGTTATATTAAAATATTGAAAGTATAAACAAATATTATCTTATATCAAATCATACCTGAACATTAAGGCAATGGAACCATACAAACTTTATTATTAATATAATGAGGTAACTTGAGAAGTTCCAGCAATAAAATCGACTTCCTCGTGAAGCAGTTGTCATGGGATATTAACCCAGATTTCAGTTAAACCATCGTAAAATCCTGTCTTGCCCCATAGTTTAAATTTATCGACAGTTGCTGTAACCAATGTAAGCTTTCACAATAAAATCTTTCATTTATATATTATTTATGTATAAACTATTTAAAAAAATTATGGACGCTAAATTTCTAAGTTTCTAGATCCATAAATCCACAATGAGTGTGTTTGTTAGCTATTTACACCGAAAATGTTTTTGGAATCGGACCTTCGCTTTTCACCAAAAGAAATTTCTTAAAACCCTAACAATAAGCGTAGTTTATTAAAAAAATACGACTACGAACAGCTAAAACATCACATTAAAAGTTAATCGAAGTAGTTAGTAATACCAAATAAGTAAAACAACGGCCTGGATTTAAAATCGCAAAGAAAATTAGCAATAAACATTTCCCTGGACGAGTAAACCCCGAAAAAAGCATTAGACAAAATCGTATGCAAATAAACAGAGTCGTTAGCTGTTCCCGATAAAGGCTTAGTTGAAATCGACGTCGCCATGTGGACGGGCGCGTATATACTATGTCTGGTGGTGTGCGTGGGCGCCATTACTCGGGACCAATTCTACCCCTATGGCCAGGGTCTGGACCAGAGACTCCCACGCGGCGCAGAAATAGCCTCACCTGAACTGCCGCTTAGTATTCCAATCATCTTTTTCGGAGAGACCTACGAGAACATATTTGTAAGTATTTTGTTATATAACAGGCATTAATTTTTTTTGCGATAATTTTAGTCAATCTAGTTTCGATTTAAGTTCGTCAACCTGGTGGCAGGTATCTTCCTACAACAACAACCGTATAAAAAAGTCTAAGATACGATAAATAAATACAATGGCATCTCTACACAATTAATTAGTTTATAGAAAAAAAAACTGATTTGAGCGATTTCGATTATTGAATATTTTACCATACGACTTCTTGTAATTCGCGTTTCTTCGAAGCCCTGTTAGTATGATAATTATTAATGTCGAATACAAGTCTCCAATGAATTAAGTATTGAAGTGAATGAAGTACAAATAGATAATATTTTTAAATTGTTTGTGTTGACGTCCATTTACCAACTCAATTACAAAACTAAACCCGCGAATATTTAGAGCATAGGTCTTTCATTTATTTATTCACATTTTTGCTCATAATTAAATAATAATATTAACAATAAGCTTAAAAACATGGTCTACCCGGCGGCCTTATCGCCACTAGGCAACCCTAACTTATAACCAATGTTTCAAACTATTCGACAATAAAAATCTTTTTCAATTTAGTTTTTATGTAGGATATTGTCACAAATCACTAATCATGTCTCGACTGTTATTAATATAAGATATCATAATAATTATTGATAGAATCCCTGTATTTTAGCTTACTTCCTGTAAAGTACTCATAGTGTATAAATGCGAATTAAATCAGTTTAATTGGTAATGTGTTTTCCTTTGAGGGTAATTAATTATTATTGAATCTTAAAAATAGGAAACATAATCTTCCACGTGTCAATACAATATTTATTCAATCGGTAATTTTATTTAAATAGATCAACGAACTTAACAATGAATTGTCAAATTTAATGACCATAAATTAATGTAATGATTTACATTACATTAATTTATGGTCGTTACTTGAATGAATTATTTTTACATTTTAAACAAAGAAAAATAACATTCTATAAAAGTGGGTATAAAGCTACAAATCTTTCCAGCGCAGCTGTATATAAATATAGCAACTCCAAAATACTAATCGTCGTTATAACAAGTCGTAAATATTTTATTGAAAACTGCAAAGGTTTTTTTCGATAAAGAGCTAGATGGGATAACCAAGTTCATTAAAGTATAAAGAAGCAATAGGCATTGGTTGAATAATGTGTGTTAGGGTCTATTTCCCAATTTGGTTTCAGAACTACATATATGGTATATGGTTAGTGTACTCAGTTTCCGCACTTAGATGCTCATTAGGTCCGTTGTGCGTGAAGTCTTGGCTAACTAAGCCAGCCTAGCTCCTTCTAGAAGCACAGTCTCCTGGGCACTTCGCAGGATTCACGAAGCTACCTCACTATTCCGAGGATTTCTGCACGTTGGGAAGCCACAGCCACGACTACGCTTAGTTTTTCATTAAAACAATATATATATAAAAAGCGATATATCCTCTCTTAGCCAAAATTAGAGTGAATGCCAAATGTCAGACATAAATTACTGTGTTAAAGGCCAGGACGACTTTGTTATAGTGGAAACACGTAAACAAATTAACATCGAATTTATAACTAATGCCTACGTAACTTAACTTAATGCCCCATTTTCAAAATGTGTTGTTGTTCCATGTATTCCTTCTATAAAGATACAAATTAAACTTAAATAACTGTAGAATAAATTTGATAAAATAAAATATTAATGCGTAAAACGTGAATTTTCAGAAATTTCATTTTATTCCCTTGTTATGTATCGCAAATGATTTTCTTTTCTTTTAGAGAATTGATTTAAAGCTTTTTTAACGATACGACAAAAACGGTAGATAACTTTGGACAAGGTTCCGAAAATTTGCAATGAGCGTTATCAAGAATTGCAGATTGCAACGGAAGTTCACGTGGGTGTTGGATAACGAGCGGTCACTGACTGATAGTGTTTTAATTAATCCTATTAATATTTATTTAACGATTTGATAACATCCGGTGTAACAGCACCCTTAGTCTAGAGTAAATGTCGGAAACTAAGTATTAGCAGTTGAAGCCCCGTTAATGGAGCACAAGGCATATTTTTGCGTCACTTTTGATCATCCTTTTAAAAAGAAAGTAGGTGATCAGCTTCCGTCGTTCTTTCGATGTCGGCGGAAACATGTCGGTTTCTTCAATATGTTTTTCTTTACGAGCAAGTGTTAATTACGCACATAGAAAGAGAATGTAGAAAGGGTTCGAACACAGATCTCAGGGTCTTCAGGTCAAGGTGGTAGTATGTCTAATCTATTATATACCTATTTAAAAACCAGTGGCGCTGCAACCTCTCGATCTTGGACTCTGTATCTGTTTCGTGATTATGTAAGGTCCTTAGAGGTCCACATAATTTGGGAATGTTGAGGAGACTGGGGCTGCGAGTGCCAAATAATCACACTCGGCGTGGTAAGCGATCGCAATTGCAAGCAGTGTCGTTAGGTTACGCTAGAAATTTGATGCTGTGTTATCAAAACTAAGCAAGATTCCTGACCTTTAGTAGTCTTGAGATACGACTATCTTTAGGGTCATTTGCGGCCTACCTAATCGATATGATAACTTACTATGTACTCTTTTATGTTTTAAAATTAAAAAGTTACATATTATAATATCTCTTTTAAATCAAAGCCAATGTGGTGAACATGTATCTATGTTAATAATTTTATACCTACTAAAATTGTTATACATATTCCTGAAGTCTTTAACTTAACATTATATATTATATATACTGTTTGAGCGGTTAATCTTCACCCGAAAGAACTTGCTCGCCAACTCACCATCAAGTATGTGAGACTACTAAAACGTCACCATATTCTAGAGCTACAAGACCGGCAGTAGATCTAAGGAGATGAGTAGATGCTTCCAATGGGAAGCCACTCCACATGACAGCACCACAGAACAGATTCTCTCATAGTCTTAGGGCTGAAGAAAAATATTAATACCATATATTAAGATTCTTCTGTTCTTTAAACCTTTCATTTAAAAGCACCAGTTAGGGCTAAATGCGGTAGGCACTCCACAATATTCAGTTCAAAAAAGAGCCGCTAATTATGTAATTGCCCTAGAATCATATAAAATCCTTATTTACAGGTGAACAACTATGGTGTCCTGTCCTTCAGAGCGGACATACCAAGTTTCCTGAACGCAGAGTTTCCACTACCCTATCCATCAATAGCAGCGTTCTACACTAACATTGATACAACTGAATCAGGCGCTGTTTACTTTAGAGAAACCAATGAATCACACGTGCTACTTAAGGCAGCTGATAGTGTACAAAGGAATTTCCATGAATATGACGACTTTCAGCCAACTAGCGTTTTCTTAGCAACGTGGATCGAGGTGAAATTCCCAAGCGATCAGATTCAAGATCGTGCGAACAGTTTTCAAATAGCTGTTATTAGTAATGGTAATGAAAGTTTTGTGGAGCTGTTGTACCCGGAGCGTGAAATTCAATGGATACAAAAAGAGGTTGTACCTGGCAGTTTACCCGACGCTAAAGCACAAGCTGGCTTTGTTGCTGAAGATGGACGTGTTTTTACTCTAAGAGGTTCTGGAAGTCATCAGATCAGAAATATTGTATCGTAAGTTTTACATATTAGGCGCCTTAGAAACTTTATTAAAATAAAATGAAAATAGGCATTTTGTATTATTTTACGTAACCTGTTTCTTTTAGGTGGTCTAACACACAAGAGCCCGGTAAATATATCTTTCGAGTTGGTGTCATAGCGCCGAACGAAACGGTTGCCGTTCCTGATCAATACGATGAAATTGAAGCGGAGATTGAAGAGGAATCGAAAACTTGCGCACAGAGTGGACCTAGTGTATGCCATATTCAGGCGCGTTGTGTCGACTATCAGGCAGGAATTTGTTGTCAGTGCAATGACGGCTTTTATGGAAATGGAAAATCCTGCGTCAAAGACGATCTACCCCTTAGGGTTCACGGTAAACTTAACGGAATTCTAAACAACGTAAACCTCAATGATGTTGACTTACAGGCATACGTTGTTGTGGCAGATGGCCGATCCTACACAGCCTTGTCGCAAACTCCACCGTCACTGGGTAGTAGTCTCCAACTTTTAAGCGTCTTCGGAAGTGTTGTCGGCTGGTTATTTGCAAAGCCAACTGGATTAGCCAAAAATGGATACCAACTCACTGGTGCGCATTTCAATCACACCGCAGATATTTATTTCCCTGATACAAGTGACAGAGTTATTATTAACCAGGAGTTCTTGGGACATGATGTCTTTGATCAGATAACACTGGAAGGTGATATTCGGGGTACAATACCTAATATTCCCGCGGGAAGTAGGTTGGAAATATCTGAATATGAAGAACAATACACAATTGTGGAGACAGGAACAGTTCACAGTGCATCAACAAGAACTTTTACCAATAAAATTACGGGTCAAAAGTACGTACAAAGGGTATCACAAACCTTTACCTTCAACACTTGTAGATTTGTGCCCTTTTCAGATGAAGAAAATATTTCTACACAATTAAAAGTGATTAAAAATTATCTAGGATATGAAACACGGGAAAACATCGTAAGATATGGAACAAGCAATAAAATTGTACCCATCGGTCAAGAGGATCCATGCATAGAGGGCAGTAATACTTGCAATCCTCATAGCACATGTATCGCCCAAGGAGACTCCTTTACATGTGTGTGCCAATCAGGATTTACAAGTACTTATATCGATGGAAACACAGGTTGCATTGATATTGACGAGTGTCTTGCTGGAACGCACAATTGTGATATAAACGCAGACTGTTTCAATCATGAAGGCGGATTCCAATGCAGATGTCGCGAACAGTTCGAAGGAAATGGTGTAACTTGTAATTGGCTGTCGCGATGCAAAGATAAAATTTGCGGTCCTAATGCTCAGTGCATAGACAATCCAGGGGAAGATCCAATTTGCTTGTGTAATACTGGATATACTGGTGACGGTCAAAATTGTTGGAAGAATCAAGAAAATAAATGTGATAACTGTTCTCCGTATGGATACTGCGGCTATGATTCTACTAACACTTTAACATGTCTATGTAATTCTGGATATAAGGGAGATGGCTTTTATTGTACAGAGGATATCGTAGAAGAGGTGACAACACCATCTGAAAATATTGATAGCGAAACTACACAGGCCTATTATGTACCTGATTCTGTAGAAACTACCCCTTCACCAACAGAATCCGATTACAATGCAACTTATGTATTACCTAACTGTAACTTCTTCGCTTGTAGTTGTCCCGAAGGCTACTTAAATTATCAAGACGACAGGGGCAATGATTTGTGCCGGATTGACTCTTTTAAGGAACCCCTCGTTCCGTTGGATAATGATACATCAAGTAAGTTCTAATTTAAACTAACAACTAGGGTAGGTCAGATCAATGGTCATTTTAAGTAGATGACTGATTTATTTTCATAACTAGTCTTCTTGCTTAGCGACCACAATTACCGCTAAGCAAACAAAAAAATTGAGGTTATTGATCACGTTTAATCGATTAAGAACATTTGATTTTAATTTTGTACTGTTTTAGTTTTGTACTGTAAACATAATATTTATATCATCAACACTTTTCAAAGTGCACATAAAAAACACACACAGGGTTTATATTATTGAGTAGGATTTTTTACATTTTATGATTCTGTGATTTATCTTAATACAAACATATTTATTTTTCCAATCTCATCTCTTTATAGTAAAATAAAATACAGATTTGATTATATTTTCAGTTAGGTGCAACGCAGACAGTGACTGCCCACCAAATGCAATATGTTCGTTCCCAACTGAAGCTTACTTGTCTAATGATCAAGATGAGGGACAGTGCGTGTGTCCAGAGGGTTATGAAGGTGATGCCTACGAGTGCATAGAGAAAACTGGACCTAGCTGTTCTTGCGGCCTCGGCGCTCACTGTATAGAAACTGCAGCCGGTGATTTAATATGCGTCTGTGATTCAGGTTACCATGGGGATGGATATGTCTGCCGCCCGAATTTCATTTGCATTGACACTTCTCAATGTGAATACAACGCTGAGTGTCGGCCTGATCCTAACACTAACCAAAACATTTGCCAGTGCATTGACGGTTTTATAAAAGACCAGAACGATGCTTGTATTCCCGATAAGCAATTATGTAATGGAGCTGTTTGTGCCGAATATGCATCCTGTCTATTCGATCAAGAGATTGGCGTTAATTATTGCCACTGTGATGATGGTTACGAAGGAGAGGGAATATCCCAGTGTGTACCTCAAGGAAGAACGTGTGACGTTCTAAACGATTGTGATCAAAACGCAATTTGCACACCAGTTGACCATACTTATCAATGTATTTGCAGAGAAGGATATACTGGTGATGGGTACAACTGCAATCTAGAGATGAATTGTAGAGTAAATCCTTACCTATGCGATATTCACGCTTCATGTCTTAAAACTAGCGATGGATATGAATGCGAGTGCAATTCTGGGTACAATGGAAACGGCAGTGTGTGCGAACTTAATCCTAGACAAGCTGGCAACTTTCTGGTTGCTAGTGACGGTGCATCCGTATATAGAGTACCATTTTCAGTAACACCAAGAAATTTCGCAACCCCCTTCAATAGTGCTACCTATCAAATTGCTGTTGGTATTGATGTAGACTGTTTATCCGCAAAAATATACTGGGGTGATGTTGTTGGAAACACTATTAAACGTGCCTCATATGATGGCTCTGGCTATGAACAATTCTTATCAAACGGTAAGGTTTTGTTTGTTTTATTGTTACCTACATTTAATACAACGGTGAAACATTGATATTATATTTTTGTTTTAGATGTTCAATCACCCGAGGGTATAGCTATTGATTGGTCTGCAAGGAATATATTCTGGACGGATTCCAAGAAAGTAACGATCGAAGTAGCTAACCTTGACACTAAGGTTAGAAAGGTATTATTTGCTAAGGAGGGTATATACAATCCACGAGGAATAGCAGTCCACCCAGGAAAAGGGTAAGCTTTTACTTCCGTCTAATCATAGTATAGATATTAATAGCCCCATTCATAAACATTTTTTTTTAGAAAAATCTTTTGGTCTGACTGGAATCGTTCTGGTCCTAAAATTGAATGGGCGAACATGGATGGGTCACAAAGAGGGATTTTCTTAGACCAAACGGACGTGAAACTCCCGAACTCTCTAGCTATAGACTGGGTTAGAGACAGACTTTGTTACGCTGACGCTGGTCTCTACAGTATTCGATGTGTGGGAATCGACAACATGGAAAAGGAAATAATCGCCCCCAATTGTTCTTATCCATTCGGTTTAGCAATTAATGGTGATAAGTTCTATTGGACTGATTGGAAAACGTAAGTATTCATTTATATTAAAAATATTCCATAAGGGGCTGGCGATGTTGGTGGCACACTTGGATGTTTTAGCTTACATAAAAATTTTAATAGATTTCGTCAAATAAAAAGTAGCCAAGTATGCCTTTGTTAACAATAACGCCTAATATAGCAACATTCAGGCTACCTATAAAAAAAAAATTACGGGTTCATACTTTTTACAAACCCAAACAAACTAAATAGCAGAATTAAAACTTTCAAAAAGAATCATCTTTTTAACCATCAGTCAAATTATAAACTTTGATATACTAATTGACTTAAATGCAATTACAGATTAAAAATTGAGTCCATAGACACATTCACACAGGTGAAAGGTCAGGTGCCAATAGCGACCGCCTCTCGAAGATTGTATGGAGTTTCTGCCGCTCCCAACGAGTGCCCAGCTTTGAGCAATGTTTGTCAATACAGAAATGGTAACTGTGATTCAGATCAAATTTGCCTACCAAATGGTCAGGGTGGAAGAACGTGTGTCGAAGGAGTCAGGAGTCAAAACTAAATTGTGTGTAATAAAACTGAAGTTCTAAGAAAATACAACCACAAGAGAGAAATTGCAGCTCCAATGATTTAATGACCTTCTGATAAATTTCATAATAATATGAGCAACATACAATAACATACAAGAAGAACTTGATTTTATAAAACTGCACTGGTATAGTAATCGGTAATATGGTCATGACCTAGACTTCCTTTTTTTAGACAAATGAAGAGTAATTTTAATTTGTATATATTTTGTGTGCTTAACTTACCCTGGATATAAGGAATTTGGTATTTAAACATTGTTTTGTTTGAAAGTTAAATAATTTATAACAAATATTTTACAACAACATTGAAATGAAACACAGTTATGTATTAAGCTTATTATAAGATCTTTATTAAGTTTACCAAAACAATAGTTATTTATTTCTCTTTAATGTACATTAAGTTAAATTATATTACAAATCGGGATTTGTATTCTACAGTGTAAATATATTTTATTAATAAATGAAAATTGTTTCATTTAATATTCAAATAACACAAAATATTTTAAATACAATTATTGTTATTTTAATAATTATTATATAAACAGTTTGATTTAAATTCAAACCATTTGTAGAGACATAATAATTAAAAAATACTATAAAAAGGAAAGAAAGAGTATTTGTGTAAATAATAGGATTTTAATCTATGAAATATGATTTTTGGCTAAAATATTAAATTTATCATAACTCTGGCATAACACACGCGATGAGAGCCTCTGGCCAATTTTTGTGTCGTATTCATAGAACGGACATGCGGCCGAGAGTTTAAGAGGCGAATTAACCATGTACACACTCATTCGTGCTCATGTTGAGACATTTCAGGGAGTATATACCAGCCATCATAGTGTATAAAACAAAGGCAAACTTATTTTCACTTTTAATCTCCAATCTGACAATTAAATACTAAGATTATCGTTTAAAGCCTAGGCTTTGCTATTTTTATCTTGGTATTATTTATAGAAATTAGAAATAGTTTAATCTAAATACTTTTTATTTTATTTAAAGGGAGACACCCTGTACACAAATTTACCATTTTCACAACAATTTATTGTTTTCTTTTATAATTTAACATACAAAAGTTTGAGAATGATATTAAACCAATTAAATGAGATACATATTTGACAACAGTATAATGATAAAAATCTCTGATAATCTAAAATTATGAAAATTATTTAACATAAGGTGACAGACTGACAATACTATATTCTGTTAAAATTCAGTCAACACAAACAAAAAATTAAGTTGCTACAAGAGAATAATATACCTTATACTATGTTCATAATTAACCCCATACATCTTCAGTGCGGCCAAACTTAAACACCAAAGATCCAGCGAATATAAAAGCGTTTTGTAAGAATAAACTCACTCCAGGCCATGTGTGCTTACTGCTTCCTGCAATAAATAGTTTGAAAATAAATCTAGTATCTAATCCCAACATTGTCGAGTATCTTATATATTTAAATTTAATATTATATTGGTGTGGACAAAACAATTTGGTAAAATACCAACAAATTCTTTTTTATGTACATGGCTTTTGGCCAAATTTTGTATGGTGGGGGAAACTTCACACTTTCTGAAGCCACACGCACATATATTTTGGTCCAAGCGGAGAATTCGGGATAAAGCATGCGTTGCAGGATAACATAAGGGGTCAACCTTTCAACATGTGATGTACTTACTCCCACCATACCTGAGCAGGAGGTCAAAGGTCTAGAGCAGCCAATCACATCACTTACAAAAAAGGTAAAGGTGTGCGTTTCACTCTCAGAATATATAATATATAATTTTTTACCCATTATGACATATTTTATTTTTTGAATTGTATTTAATATTTTCAATAAAAAATTTATAAAAACAAAATAGACTAGATTTTTTCCTATTTTCTTTGTACGGCCACCCCCACACTATAATCTGGCATATTTTTCTTAGATCAGAAAGATTTAGGCTGCATAAATTAATAACATCTGATGTTCTTGAGTATTTCTTTGTAAGTGATTTTTTAACATTTTTCAAAATCTATATTTGCTCATCGTAACTACACATTAACTTGTTAAGCCAATAGGTCCCAACGGCACTCAAGTTAATGCCCTATTTACCTTCTTGGGCATCACGGGCAGTAAAATTTATAGAAGACACTGTTACACTTACCAGCATTAACATAATTTGCAAAAAGTATCCAGCAAGCAGCAATTAGTGAAGCAAATCCAATAACAAAGCCAAGGAACAGCCACAGCCTACTTCCTCGAGGACCCATACATCCTCCAGTGTATGTTTCCCCTCTCACCTGAAATATTATGGTAATATACATTTTAAATTTGAATAAGGTAATGTTTTGCAAAATATTGTGAAATCTACACTGAATAAAGTTTAATCTTAAAAATATTGTTGGTTTGTGTATGCTTCAAATCTCAAAAGGTTCTGCACCAATCGAGCTGAAATTTTAGCATGATATGAAATTTGCATCAAGGATTGTTTTTATGTTTTTTTATTTTTTCATTATTTTTTTCCACAAGTGTTGCAAAATTAAGCTTATATGAAATGTTTTCTTTGTTTTGTTTCTCATTTCTCAACCAATAAATCACAATGTGCCACAACCTGGCATGGAATAGCTAGTAGTTTATAAAAATGAATACTGTATTATTAATGTATATTATATATGATGACTTGGACAAGCTGTGTGGCATTCTGCTTTGACTGCAATTTAAATATTTTCTTGACCCTCAAAAGTCAAGAAAAACCCCAAACAAGTAACGCTACCTTGTATGGTGAAGATATATATGTTGTGAGCTAATGACATATTTAGATTTTCTGATATCTTGGGATATGAAAAAAACAGATGCAACCTGAGGCCAAGATCCAGAGGTTTGCAGTGCTACTCAATGGGTCATCAAACAGTTTCAACTGCCAGTTCACTTGGATTAGTTTAAATGAAGTTTCATCTTAAAATACAAAATGTACCTGTGCATTAGATACAGAATTGACCATCAGAAGAGACAGAGTGGCCATGACTCCACAAACATGCGAAGCATTCGGTAGATCACCTGGATACACAGCTGCTGCGTCAATAATAAACCACCAGCCCGTAAAAAACTGAAAATATATTAATAGTTTTATGTAATAACAGTTAATAATGAACGTTTTAGCATACTTACATTATTACAATTTGAAACAAAAAAAAATTGTACCTTTTAAGTTAAATACAATAATATGATTCATCAAAACATACCAAAAGCCCAGAGAATATGGATGCAAGAACGTTGCGCTTTTCTCCAGCCTCAAACCATGCGCAGTCAGGCATTGTTATATTTTCGAAACAGCTCATTTTTTTTATTTTACGATAATTTACACTATTATTTCAAAACTGTCAGTAATTTCATAAGCTGAACTAAAATATTTGAGAAAGACAAAGTGTTCACCAGTTTTCACTTTTCTATTTGTTTGATCATTGGATTTTGAAGACTTGTTTGAGACACTTTGACAGTGACAAATATGACTTCTTTATTCTTGAGTATGAACACGAGTAATTTAGACTAGGTCTTATAAATTATGTTTAAAAAAATAAAACGCTGTAAAATATTATATTCGAATCTCTCAAATACATTTATTTATTGTAAAATTCGTTTTGTATCATAATAATTAGTAAAAGGCATAACGTAGTTATCTCATAATATGAGGTTTACGTGGAATTATTGAGGATTAGGTAGCGCTATCTAGCTATAATTTTTTATTTCTTTTGCTGATGTAAAAGGAAGAGTGCAGTTTATAAATTGTCGCAAGATGGCGTTTTAATACATCTAAAGTTCGAAGTGCGACATTTCCGTGCTTAAAAATTCTAAATGGGATTTTAAATTTTATTTACTTTATAAAATAATTATGAACGGTACTAAAGTACCGCTATATGTCACATCTCTTAATTCTTATAACCAATAAAAAAGTAGATAATGGTGGATTGTTTACAAATTTCAATACATTTCACAAAACTTTAAAAAAAAATTTAAAATACTTTGACGCATTTCCGGCTGCTAAAATCACTTGGAGGTGTTCCAATGAAGGTCCCCCAAGACTCCTGCATAATCAGTATCATCAGATTCGGGTGCATCGTTATCGCACCCAACCCCAAACTAATCTAGAAGGACAGTTTTTTTTAACTTTTAACACACAATTAATTAGATCTGTCAACTTGACGTCTCTGGGTGACCACGATTTCGTTTAAAAAATAATTTGGGTTATTAAATTGTGAGAAAAGTACCTAGGACCGATCTCATTTATATTTATTAGCTAATAGTATATTTACTTCATTATTTTTTGTCAATAAAAGATAATTCGTTACTAAAATTTATTCTCTGTTTTTAAGCATGGCCAGTGGGCTCATTACAACTGACCGTCGTCCGTAGACAGCTACGTATAGTCGTATTTAAAGAAAATCTATGGTGTGTGTATGAAATATCTGTATCCTGTCATATACTTTACAAGTCACAACTGGATATGGTATTTCTTCTAACATACGAAGTGCTTGATACGTTATTTAATTTCAGTGCAATGTTGCACATTTTCTATTCTCTATACACTTTGCTTTTATTTCAATCTTCCTCTAATGGAACGTGAGTAAAGGCGCAGGATCCCAGACAAGTGGATAATGTGACTGTCATTATTGTTGCATCTGCATCACATTGTGTCTCTATGAATTTTTAAAGCCCCGTAAACATAGCTGAGGATTCCAAACTATAAATAGAAGTAAGTAGGTCGATTAAATAATATAAAACGTACTCGTACCGTTCATCTTTAACCTTCTCAGCAACAAAATTTTCACTCTCGATTCAAACTTTATACCTAAATTACGTATACATTCATACATGACTAAAAATCTTAAGCAACTTCTTCTTAACCTGTTTTATGTTCCCTAAACTATACTTGTGCAAAAGTAGTAAAACAATAGTAAGTGCTATGTACAATAATTTATTACTTCATGTATAGTAGTCATAAGTATGTCAAACCTCATTTTACTGTACATATTTTTTGTTATTATAATATACTAGCTGACCCGGCAAACCTTGTTTTGCCATGTATATTATTTCTAGGAAACATTTTTTTAGTTCAATAAAAATAACTATCTATTATAATAAAAAATAGGGGTTGATCGTAGAGGGGTGAAAATTAAGGGTATGTATTTTAGTATGCTGTATCATAAAAAAATAAAAACAAAAGAAATGAAAAAAAGGTTGAAAGATAGATAGTATCGCCGATTTTCAGACTTATTGAATATGCATAAAACATTTCATAAGAATCGGTCGAGCCGTTTCGGAGGAGTATGGGAACGAACATTGTGACACGAGAATTTTATATATTAGATAATAAGGTTGTTATTCTTTTAAGAAAAAACTAAAACCACTTTTTAGATTACAAGGTTTTGTTAGATCCTTTTAAATTTCTTTAAAAAATAATCAGTATCTAATATACTTATTTTATAAGTAAATGATCTTCGCAAAATTAAGAGCAAAAGGATTCTCATTAAGCAACAGTTAACTTTTAATGACTGCTATAATAACTGTAGCAAATTAAAAACGCATTGTTCTTTAGAAATTTTAAAGATGGAATGTCGTTGTTCAAATCGAAGCCTTCGCGCCATTTGAAATTTTTCTTAACAAAACCTCCCTACTCATTACTCAGCGGGTTCCCTTCAAAAGCAATTTATCGCTTAACTTTTACGGTCATTTGTTCTGAACACAGATTAAAATAAAGTATTTAGTGTAAATAGTAAATATCATGCACCCGTTGCAACTTTGTGTGCTTTTAATAGAATTTTAGAATTTCGACAAACTATTATTAAGATCATAATTATTATGGATCGATATTTAAAAAATTCGTCTGCTGCTCTTAAAACGTCTTTAGGTGATGATGTGGAAGTGATCTATGTAATAAATATTGTGTGACAATAATGAAATGATACAAATTGAGCCTTAAAGTAACGAATAAACTTATAAACTACTGAATCGATTAAAAAAATTCTTAACCATTAGAATGCTTCGTTATTTCCTAGTGACCGTTATACACCTTTTAATTTAATGCATGTAGGATTTTCGATGGTTATTTTTAAAAGTAAAAATTACTGTTACTACTTTTGGCATACCTACATTTCATAGTCTGTGATTCGAAATGAGAAATAATTGAATCTGTAGTTTTGGGCGCACGCGGCGTCTCCGGCCGACTTCCGGTCCACACTGAATTATTCGTCATTTCCTGTTTTTCTCAATGAAGTTTATGCTAAGAATAGGTTTTATCTACACCCTAATCATATTATTATAGTCTTAGCATTACCTTTTTTACCTATTTAAGAAATTCTTTTAAATTTGTGTTATCTAATCTTTTGTTAAAAACAACGTTAGTTGTAGTTAATAACATAAAATAAAATATTATTAATTTTAAGTAATAAATTTAAACATAGAACTTCAAAAATAAACGTCTTCGCAGCATATAGTGTTTTATCTTCTTTCTTCCATCACCACATATTACTTTATTCACAGAATATCCAAATAAAAAATCTTGATATAGGTTATAAGTTATGTAAGTGTAAACATCACAAATGTACAATTATAAATATGCACATTATCTATGTAATTCATGGTAGTGCCGTGCCACAGATAAAAGATAACAAAAATAAAATCGTGTCTTTTCAAAGCTCCAGGCTATAGCGGAATAATGACACTATAAAATAAATGCACGATTGTAATCGCCACCGCTGGTAGACGTCGTAAACTGTTTATGAGTGTAAATGTAGTGCCCTATTGAAAGCGTTTCTATAATTTACATTAAAACTGAAAGTTTATCAAGTTGATGTCCAGGCCGGAAGTTAAACCTTATTTTTTTGTGTATATACACTTATTTCCCGAGAATTGAACGTAGCCCATTCATTTTACTATATAGTATTATTATGAAGTACTAAATATTAACGTGGAAAGAAAAAAACATTTCATTATGTAAACATGTTAACGCTTTTGACCTAAAAAAAATAAGCAACCGCGAAAGCGTCATGGCCGCCAAATATATATCTAGTATTTAAATATTCTAATATTTAAAATGTAATTGTAAGGCGTTCTGTCAAAAGTACGCGAAATAGTTGATAAAATACTAATTTGCAGTTATACTAAATATGTCTATGATTTTTAATAAATGTACTTTTATTAATTTTCACAGCTCTCACTTTAGGCACAACTTCATCAACCGCGATTTTTGTTTTACGATTTGTGTAATGTGTCAAAATGATGAACGTTAAAAAGCGCTAGAAGTATTTGCTTTTATGACTACTACCTTATGAATAGATGTTTTACATTTAGAACAGGGAATATATAATTTACTAGGCCGACATCTTTTTATTATTTGTGCTTATTAAATTTTATTTGATTTTAAAAGTTTTTGCGATGATTTATTAAGACTGGACTGGACTGCTATATTAAGCCATATTCAATTTATTTTTGTTTATAATCATTTTAACCCATTAAACTTAGGTATAATAATAAAGTATGAATAATCACGTAGGTCCATTTACAAATTCATGAAATTACAATATAAACACTTTATTTACATGACAAACATTAACACGTTATAATTTATTTCATGAATAATTAAATTATTACATTCTAATGACATTTAATTTATTTATTTAAAAATTATTACACTTGCGTACTAACAATGCAAAGTAAAATCTTCTGACGAGTTTCAATTTGTTACTTTTGTTAGGTTTTATAAATTATTAATACGTGAACTTCCGATCGTACAGGATGCACTTTTCATAACAGGTAATGATTCAATTTAAAATCTCTTTATTATTGTGCTGTTTAAGTAATGTAACGCAGCATTCAATGCGCGTTTGCCGATTTGCTTTACTCAATTCGTGATTTTTGCCCTTCCCATTTTGCTTCAAGTGGATTAATACAGTTTTATCACTAACACCGAAGCCTGCAGCTAACTCAGACGTAGTTTGTGATGGATCCGCTACCACAATAGCCTTCAATTTATCAAATTGTTAAAGGAATTATTATATAAGAAATGTTATAACTTAAGCTTAACAGAGTATCTGACTGAAAGATTTTAATTTCTTTATATAAGTTAAGTTTATTAATTACTCTTGTCAACTCTTTTGTCGCAACGTGAAGCCTATGTAAATATATTATAAGATTAAAAATGTATCTTCTTATAAGATTAAAAATGTAAAATAATAGAATTAAGTATAATAAAGCATGCCCTCTCACAACGTTGCTGTTCCTAACCAAGGTCCTTATTGTAACAAAATTATAACATGTCACCTGTAAAGTATGAACAAAAGGA